CCCCAAAACCCCAAAACCCCAAAACCCCTAGAATGACCATTACAAATTGGATGGTAAACAAATTTATCAATAAAATTATAATTAGTCAATATCTATTTGTCAGTTAATTCAGGCTATCTTTTTAGGATACAACAGTCGAGAAAAGATCTCCACCAATAGTCATCTAGTTAGAATCTTTAAGAGATGATGGGTTAATTGAAGTTGAAGAGGTGTTGTGTTGATGCATGTGATAGACTGAATTGTGACCACTTTTAGCATCCAATAATTCTACATTAATTTTAGATCCTTAAGTTGACTTAGCATAGTAAATAAATGAGTCGATTCGCTTGCAGATAGTTTCTTGACTTCTCTTGAAGCTTTCAATTACAGTTTGAAGAACATATTTATAGCTTCTATTATTCTGGTTCATATTATCCATATTCTCATTAGTCTGCTCACTAATATGGTTGCCATGGATATACTATTCATTTTTCTTATCTGCTCTAGTTATTATTTCAATTAAATCTTTCTTAATTGACTTTATAAACTCAATAGATTATTCGTTTTGCATTCTAACATTCTGCACCTCTCTGTTTAAATTTAGCTTTTAATCTTCATACTCTTCGTCTCGCTTGATAGTTTCTGTTCTAAAGAGATGTGAATCTCTTTTATAGGCCTCTTCCAATTGTGTTAATCGTTTAGAGAGATCGAATTTTTATGACTCAATGAGTTTGACTTGTTCTTGCCATTCCGTCATTTCCTTGGCTTATTGCCTGAATTTCTTGTTGAAGTGATCTCTCTCTTCATCGATCTCTTCTTTGAGGGTTAGAACTTGTTTTTCCTTATTTTGGATAAGTGTCTCCAGGCTTTAGATCTGGCATGTGAGGTCTTATCTATCATACTGAATCGATTCAATCTTCTATTGTAGATTGTGATTCTCAGAGCAAACTTAATCGATCTATTTTTAATAAACACTGGCATTTTATTCCTGCTCTTTCTGTAGATTAAATATTTCTCTAACCTTCGATTACAAATTCTTCTTGTACTCTTAGTTAGTTTATTGCAAGGTCAGACATTCTGCCTATAAGTCTTCAAATCTCCCTTCAATTTGCTAGAATCTTTATAATTCTTTTTCAAGATGCTTCTTCTCAAGTTCAACTCTCAGTTGCTCCTTTTTAATACTTGATATTTCCTCCTCGTATTTTGCAATTATTTATTCTTTTTCATAGCCAATAGCTTCTTTTTATCTTTCATTTGAACTTCTTTCAGACTTAAATTATTCTTAGAGCTCTATAATTTTTATTTCAAGTTAATGCTTCTCAATTTAGGTTGATTTTACTTATTATTCAACTAAGCTAATGTTTTGTTGAAGTTTTTATATTTGTTCTACGTATTTGCTTATTTCTGAAGTGTTTTTATTAAGTATTTCTGAGAGTTTCTGATCGTTTTCTTGCTGCTATTCTTTTTATTGTTCCCTTAAGAGTCTTTCCATTTTGATTTGCAACTCATCAAGCTTATTCTAATACTCTTTTTCAGCCTATTTTCTCTCATCTCTTTCCCTTTTGACTTCAGACTCTCTTCTTTCTTGTTCTTTAATAAAAACTTCTTGCAATTAATCATTGAATTATCTGTAATTGATCTCTATTTTCTTCTACTCCGAGTATAATTGATCTCTTAGTTCATTTATTTCTCTAGCTAAATCATCTTTATCCTTTCTAAACATTGAAATCTAGGTCTCATTTTAAGCTTTTTCATGTCTGAGTACTTCATTCTAAGCTTCGACCTTTCTATTATAATCAAGTAGCTAAATTTTTTCAGATTGTAGTCTCTTTACCTCTTCTTACAAAGGTTCAATCTGAGCATTCTACCTTTCATAATCATCCCTTTCATACTGAATGCGCTCTTTTTCTTTAGTGAGCACAAGAATATCACTTTGCATTTGAATGGCATCCTCAGTCATCTTTTAAATTCTGTAATCTTTTTCTTGATCATTCATCTGCAAATCATTATTGAATCTTTAAAGCTCATGATATTATTCAGTCAGTCTTTATTTTTCAGTTCTTTCCTCCTCAATCTCTAAATGCAGACTTTCTATGGCATCCCGACATTTCAAAAGCAGAGCATCTCTTGCCGAATTGCCTATCATTTATTATTACTCTTGGAAATTATCTTGAGAGTCATTAGAATTCAGAGTATCATTCAGGTCGTCTTCATCGGTAGCCTAAGTTTAAGATAAATTTCTTCTGGGAACATTTGATATTGTCTAGTTTTATTTCTTGAATGATAATTCTTCCAACTGCTATCTTTGATGGAACGATTTACTAATCATTTTTCAAATATTTTAATTTAACAATCACATTCAAAATTTAAAATTTGCTTTGGGGTTTTGGGGTTTTGGGGTTTTGGGG